CCATACATCCACATATACATATATATACACACAAATACACATACATACAAGTAGATATACATACATATATATCTTTTTGTATACAAATATAAACATTAAATCTTAAAATGACTACATGCATCAATACATGTTATTGTTATATCCAATATTAGAGTTTTTAAGGACCGGCCTTTTCAAAACAGAAATAGCTCTAGACTTTAAATCGATTTTTAAAACCTGTATTTAAATATAAGTTCATTGCGATGGTTCTGTAATTTTTCAGGGTTACTATATTTAATTATGAAGATTTTTTCTTTTATACAGAGATCACATCTGTTTCTGAAATTGTTGGGAGCACGAGACCTAGATATCCTCCATTCCAGTTGTGGGGTAAATCCATTGTCAACTAGATCACAATATTGTTTGATGTTTCAAGGATTGGTTGTTGAATGAATGCCGGGATTATATAGGCGCTGTTTCAAACTTCCCGCAGAGATTCCAATATAACAACTTTATATATATATATATATATATATATATATATATATATATATATATATATATATATATATTATGAAATGGTCAAAGTCCGATGTTTATACATTCTTTTATAGATACAAATAGTTAAGTAAATGTTTTTTTTTTAATATATATATATATATATATATATATATATGTCCGAGAAATTTTCAGGCCGGTAAATGTTATAAATACTGTTTATTACAAAAAAAAAAACAGAGCATTTACTTAAATATTTAATTATGGTGCACCAAAATTGACATAATTTTATGAATTCTAAGAAAGTTTTTTTTGTTTCTTATAATAATTTAAAATACTATAAAAATTACTTTATTTCATTATTTAATAGCTAAGATAATGATAAATAATTTTATTAATTATTACATTATGTTATTACATTTTTAACTTAATAACTAAGATAATAATTAATAAAATTATTATTACATTAATAATTAAATTATCTCACTCAGTTATTAATTGTTTAAATTGATATATGAGATAATTATATTATCTCAATTTAATTTTCAATTTAATATTTGAGAGTGACAAAAGCCGAAGACCAAAGGGCTTTCCCTAAGGGGGAGATAAGTCTTGAACACGTGACCTTTTAACCATAATATCACTTGCGAGATAACATACTAAAAAAATATAACATTTTGACAAAAAAAATTATCTTTAATTATAGTAAATGTTTTGGTAGCATGATCTGTATTAAGTTTTTAATTTTCGCTTAGTAAATATAGTCTTCACTTAAAAACTTAATAACTTATCTTGTACTCTGTTTGGAAGAATTTTAAAACATTTTTTTTTTAATTAAAGAAAAAGCTAAAAAAAATGCGAACAATTCTTGTAAAAATTCTTTATTCATCGAAATTTTTTTCTTCAGATACTAATATCCTTAATGTACATTATTTATAAAAGCAAATAAAAGCCTATCTAATTAGGCGATGACAGATGCAAAAAATATTTTTTCCAAGATTTTCTAAAAATAAAAATTTCAGAAATAAATTCATTCATTTTTGAATGTCCTGAAAGTTTCATTAAAATCAGACAATTATTTGAATTTGTAAGAATTTCCAAATTAATGGGTTTTCTCCCAGAAACTGCAACACTAAAATGTTCATTACCATATAGTGAAGTGTATGAATGTGGAAACGGGTTAGTTTGATTTGGCCTTGTTAGTTAGATAGCCCACCATAAAAGGGGTATAAAACAAGAAAATCATATTATAAAGTGAACAAATTTATATGCATATAATCAATTAAGGTCTTTACAAATAAAATTAATGTATTTTGGCTGATACAAGGTCGTCAAAATGTTCGTAGTAGTTCTTGCAAGAATGAGTTTATGTGTACGTAGGCAGGAACGTATGTGTGGATATATGTATGTATGAGCGTTATCCAAGGGTAGGAATGTCTTTAAAGTAATTGCTCAGTCTTATGTTCCTTTAGTTTATCAAGTATAAAAGAGGTGAAGGAGAAGAGTAGAGATAATAATAACGTTCGCTTGACGTTGTCAAGGGATTTGTTAATACGATCATCTCCTCCTCTCTGGTGACAAACGAACTTGGCCGTCTTTTATTTTGTTTTTGAGAATTCACTCCCGGATATGATTCAGGCCTTTTCATTGGACGATGAACAAATTTTTGCGTCGGCTCGCGAAAAGGTCCGTCAAAGAATTTGTTTCTGAGAATTGAAGATTATTTGAATTTTGTTTTTAAATGTTTCCTAGTTTTCTATTGGCCGAAAAACATTTCGCATCAAGGTTTGAAATTTTACGAGTTTTGTTTTGGATTCCCTTTTGCATGTGTATTAAGCAAAGTTTGTAAATTTGAGTCTTTTTAAATTTCTAATAAAATCAATGAGTCAGTGCTTAGCATTTGAATTTTATATCTAGATCTTGTTTTGTTCACTACAACCACATGTAGTACAAAGTTGACAAAGAAAAAAAATGAGATTTTTAATCCAAATTTAGAACGTGTTAGAAAGAAGGGAAAAGTTTTAAAAAATAATTAAAAAATAATTTGTTTTTTCCTCTTAATAATAACATAAACATTTTCACGATAAAACTTTGTTGTTATTAAGTCTGGGGTCTTTTATTATTATGCTATACTGATTTTTAGCGAATTATTGGAGGCACCTACTTTAAATCATAACATTCCTCAAATAAAACTTCAGGAAACTATATTTTATTTTTGGAATATTTTTTTTAATAAAGAGAATTACATTGCGATCAAAGACAGCTAAAAACCGGCGCTAATCAGCTGGTTTAGCCCTCACCAAAAAACTTCCGGTAAATTTAAATTAGTTTTGAAATACAGTAAAGGAAAGCATTTTGCTTATTGGAAATATTAAATTTAATCTATTAGCTTAAAATTCCAAATAAAAAGCCTTGACTTCTATGAAAGAAAGAAATTTTTTTTGTTTTTAAAAATTAATTTAAAAACTTAGGTATCGTGTTATCTGTGATGGTACATATAGAAAGTATAATTTCAACACGGAGACTTTCAACCAACAAAATTCCTAGGAAGAGTAAGTTTCACTTCTTTGTTTATTCCTCACATCGTCGAAAAAGAACAGGCACATTCCAAAATTCCAATTTCTATTTCTTCGTGTTTCATTTTAAAAATCTCTGTCTCTGTCTGTCTGTCTGTCTGTCTCTGTCTCTCTCTCTGTCTCTCTGTCTCTCTGTCTCTCTCTCTGTCTCTCTCTCTCTCTCTCTCATATATATATATATATCATATATATATATATATATAATCCGGTATTGGTCACTGAAAAAACAGTGCCGACTGCCTGAAGTTTATCAGTCGTTGATCCGACACCGGATCTTTTTTACATATATAAAAGAAATATTCGTAGACATGAATTATTTCATTTGACATGATTAAATAAAATAATTTTATAATCCACTCCATACCTTATTTGTCTAACATGGCATAATGAATAGTAAGTTAATAATTTGTAGTATATCCCTTAGTCAATTCAAGAGCAATCAGTCTCTTTATGTAGCTTTTAAATCAATGATTTTCAAAATTCCGTTGTTATTCTTCTTTGCGTATTCTCTTTAGGATGTTTTTCGGAGCTCTTTTATTAACTTGAATTTTTAATAAACGCACGCTACAGAGTCTCTGTTGGATTCAAATCTGGAGACTGTGATGGCCATTCGAGTGTATTGACATTGTTTTCAGTAAGCCATTTTTTCGTAGATTTTTAGCCATATGTTTAGGGTTATTATCTTGTTGCAAAAAACCAATTCATTTAGGAGTCCAAGCTTTACAACTGACCCAAACAAATTAGAGTCCAAAACATCTTGGTATATATTTTGAATTCATTCTACCATCTATTATCTCTAAATTACCCGTACCATTAACAGAAAAACATCCTCAAACCATGATATTGCCACGACCAAATTTCACCGTTGGGATTGTGTTATTCAGTGCAACGGTTGTGTCGTCTTTTATCCAAACGGGGATTCTTGAATTCAGTAGTTCCCAAATAGTTCAATTTTTGCTTTACCTGTCCATAAAACACTTTTCCCAAATTATTCTGGTTTATTCTCATGTTCACGGACAAATTTTAACCGGGCATCACTATATTTCTTCAAAAGTAGTGGAGTTTTTCTTGAAGAACGTGATCTTAGTAGTTGACTTCTATGAAATTCATTGTATATTGTTCACTTCGTAACAATAATACCTGATGCTTATAATTCTTCATGTATTTCTCTCAGAGTAGTTATTGGATTTTCTTGAATTTTGCGCTGAATTTTTCTCATTGATCTGGGAGAAATCTTACGTGGTGCACCATATCTCGATTTGTTATCGACAATTTTCACCTTTTTATACTTAACAATACCGGAACTAAATAGTAGTAAATTGTATATTCAGGATATCTGCTATTTTTCTATAGCTTATGCCTTCTTTCCAATGTTTGATGATCAATTCCTTTTGTGAATTTAATAGTTCCTAGTCTTTCCCTATGATGGTAATTATCGCGCGTGATTTGTGTACGGAGAAAACCTTATATAAGAAATGAATTGCAGAATGTTCTAGATTGTTCCGATAATAAAATAATTGGAAGTATCAAGCAAATTCTTCCAAAGAATTATGTTAAGAAAGGTAATTTAAGCCTTTTGATATTAAAGACATATTTTATACTAATCCTTTTTCGTCACGAAATTTTATAAATAACACATAATTTCATTTATAACAAATTTTTCTAATTATTTTTTTTTGCTTATTACAGCATTATGTAATGGTGTAGAAATATTGTATGGATTTTAAGTTTTTTCAGTAGTTATATTAGTTAAAAAATTTCATGGTGTACGAATATTTATTCCCTTCTCCAGTGTATATATGTCAAAATAACCCTGTGTCAGTTTTTATATATATATATATATATATATATATATATATATATATATATATATATACTATAAAAAAGAATCCGTATAGGTCCAACCGACCACACGACTGTTTCTTGCGCTCCTTTTACAGTTTACAGGCGGTCGACACTGGTCTATTCAGTGACCTACACCGTGTTCTTTTGGTAAATATAAATGCACTGTTACTGCGGAATCATCTATCTATCTATCTATCTATCTATCTATCTATCTATCTATCTATATATCTATCTATCTATCTATCTATCTATCTATCTATCTAATCAATGTTTCATTTATTTATCCAATCTGTCGATGAAACAGGGAATCAGTCAATAAGCTGGACATTCAATCATTCAACCAATCAGCTGATTGTCTAAGGAATATCAAAGTTTCTAGATGAACAAAGTTCTGAAAAAAGTCCCCTCCCCCACCAAAAAAATAAACAAAAAGCAAAACCAAAAAAAAACAAACAAACAAACAAACAAACAAACAAATAAAGAAATTAAAACTTTATTTATATTTTAAAATTGATCCTTAACAGAGTGGTATAATTACAAATATATATGACATGAAATATCATCATCCCTTTGATGATCCGTATGTCAAGTAACCTTTTCCTTTTTAAATTGTATCTGTCTTTGTTGAAAAAGTTCCTTTGTTTTGTGTCTGTGAGTTTTTGATACATGACATTATGTTTACGTTGTAGGCGTATATCAGCAGTAGTTGTAGCAGTAGCAACCATAACAGATTAACTGACTTTAATCAATATTGATAATTAATGAAAAAGAATGAAGGAGAAGAAGATTTACGTAAATATCACTTTGAGATTAACAATGTCAATCAATTAGTAATTGGTGAATATGCCAAATTAATCACTCATATTAGTTAACGCAATTTATAAAAAAAAAAAAAAATAGGCTCAACACAAGGAGCAAAAATTAAGAATTGAACTTATTGGTTAAAAATATATATATATATATATATATATATATATATATATATATATATATATATATATATATATATATTTTGTTAATTTTCATATTTTTTAAGAAAAATTGTCTTCAAAATGTCTGCAAATTTTTCGTATTTATCCTCAATGCCAACATATATACAAACAGACAAAATTAATAGTGACAAGAATCCGCGGATATAATTTTTCCAAACTGAAAAAAAAAATGAATGAAAATGTACAATTATGATATAAAAATATAGATACATATATCATTATTATTATTGTTATAATAATTATTTTTATTATTATTAATTTTTTTTCAACAAATTATTATTCACATTTTTCGGATTCTATTATTATTTTTATTGTATTTTTTTTATTTCTCATTTCTTTCTGGGTCCCGACCAGAGGCCTATGGTTAGAAATAACATCGTGAGATTTTCCATTGAGCAATTTGGAAAAAAAAAATCACACATATTTTACATAGATAAAGCCTTTCGTAAGGTGTGGGCTGTACTCGGGAGGGCATCATCATCATCAACATTATTATTATTATTATTATTATGTAAAATAAATGTCTTAAAATTTTGTCGTCTTCCTATTAATATTATAATTAGTTTTTTCCTATTAGATATTTAAAAATTTATTGTATTCCTTTCATTGTTATTATTGTCATTATTATTCACTTTTCTACAAAATATTTTTTAAATTTACCGTATTCATTTATTATTATTATTATTATTATTATTATTATTATTATTATTGTAGGAATTTTAAAAAATTGTCGCATGCCTATTATTATTATTATCCATTTTCTACAAAATATTTTTAAAAATTGCAGTATTTTCATTGTTCTTGTTATTATTATTATTATTACTAGTGTAATCTTGCTATAAAAAATGACGGCAGCTGTTAGAAAGTGTAGTGCCACGCCTACATTTCTTCAACTTTGATTGGTCGATTAATATATACTAAAAATAATAAGACAATTTATCGATTGCATTTCACCACACTGAATTTTTTTCCTACAGTTTGCTCAGAAACAAGTTTTGTTATAAAATCACTGATTGGTTCATTTTTCATCCAATCGAGTATTTTTCGTATACCTTCAAAAATATATCCCGCGTTCGTGCAGGGAGCCACATATAGTAGTATAAATTTGGATGCATTTCCCAAATCAAACAGTAGATTAATAGATCACAGTAGAGTACAGAGCAGAGACAATAGATCTCGACTACTCACTCGTGTTATTCATCCTACTCACTCCGCACGTACGCACACACAGAAACAGAACCTGAATTTCATACAACATCAGTTCTATGTGAACAAACCAAGTTGAAACAACTCTGTTAGTTACAAACACACAACTGAACAATCTTCTGAAGATACATTCAATCTTAACACAGAACTCTGAACTTTATATTCAGAAAAACTTGTTAAAAAATTTTCTAACAGATAAAGGGGAACTACTTTTTTCTCCTTATTCACACATTATACAATTACCTTGTATTTATTGTTGATTTTAATATATATGTTTATTCGTTGAAACAAATTGGCTCTTCATTGTTTTTCCTTGATATTTAAAAAATTATGTATGAATGTTAAATGCTTATTCAACACGTGGCCACATTTATTTACCAAGCAGCATCCTACATTGGTAACCTCAACACTTAAGAAAGCAGCATTCTACAAAAGTTTTAAAATATTTTCTAAAAATTATATTCTTTTCATTGTTGTTATTATTATTATTTCTACAAGATATATAAAAATTGTCGAATTCCTTTCATTGTTGTTGTTATTATTCATTGTTTTCTAGAACATATTAAAATTCTTTGTATTCTTTTCACTGTTATTATTGTTGTTGTTGTTGTTGTTGTTCATGCTTTTGTTAAATTATCATTATTATTCATTTGCTATAAAAAATAGCGATTTTTAAAATTGGTAGAATTTCCTTTTATTATTATTGTTATTGTGGACATTATTATTTTAATGTTATTTTTATTGAATATATACATGTCTGAGTAGACATCCCTGTTATAAACTCAGTGAAATTAATGCCAACCGGTCTAGAGTTTGAGAAGTCTTACTAAAGAAAATAATCTTTTAGGTAATTTTTTATTTATCCGACTTCATTTTCTGTTATATCGCACATTGAGTGCTGGTGTTAATTAGTGCCCGATGTAGTATAAGTATACATATTATTCCTCACCGGCTAACGCGACTCATTCACAATGCAATCTACAGGTGTTGATTAGAGACTGACATAATTTAAATTTTAATAAAAATTATCTGGTTAACGTAATGCTGGCGCAGTCCATATATTATAGGAGGTTACTAGTTAAAAAAAAATTCTATTTAAAATAGACGGAATTTATATTTTATATTTAAAATAAATGGGGATTAATTGTTTTATTTTATATGTAAAATAAATGGGGATTGATGGTATATAAATCTATATCAAAATCGGACTTAAAACTAAAAAGAAACTTGTTTTATTTGAAGTAGACGGGATCTAGCTTTTATATTTAACATAAACGGGAATTACTGGATTTAAAAAAAATTGTATTAAACGAAACGGATCTAAAACTATAAAAACAATTGTATATAAAAATAGACAGGATTTATATTTTAAATGGTTTTATTTTATATTTAAAATAAACGGGGATTACATTATTTTAAATTATACTTAAATAAATGGACCAAAGAGTAAAAAAAAAAAGGTTTTTTCATATAAAATTGACAGGATTAATATTTTATATTTAAAATAAATGGGGACTAATGAGTTTTAAAAAATTGTATGAATGACTTAAAACTATAAAAATTATAATATAATTTTTATAGTTTTAAGTCATCCATACAATTTTTAAAAACTCATTAGTCCCCATTCTCGACATAAGTAAACAGAAGAAAATAAAAAAAGGAAAGGTTATAATCTACAGTATAAATTAATCTGGATAAACATATTTCAGATAGCTAATTTTTCTACAAGACGTAAATTATATCTATCGTCTTTCTCAGTTGTAGAATTTGGTTTTAGCTACAATATCCCGCGTGATAATTGGTGTATTACCAACATTCTTTAATTGCCAGAATTTTTTGGAGACAGCAGTACTATTCATATATCTTACATTGCCTAAAGTCATTTTATGATGATAGAAACGATATTTCCAAGAGTTTTCAGTTGACCCAATATAAAATTTGATATCATTAATGGAATGTATGCTAGTTTAGTATACAATTTTATTAGTCATACTGTGACGGTTACACACCCGGCCCAGTGTCGGATCCTTTGGTTACGGCGCCAACGGTGACGTCGCTCCTCCTGGTCGCTCCTCCTGGGTCCAAGCGTGCCGCTCCAACCCTTTGGTCAGATGATCACCAGCCTCGCCTTTCCCGACTCCGCTTCCAATACCTGGTCACTAAAGCAACTATACCGATCTCCGGTCTGTCTACCCACGCTGTTTAGATCTTAGACAGACGGGACCAGCAGGGATCGGGGCCGATAAGTTGAGTCCGACGGGGTGGCAAAACACAAATAAAATAAAAACTCACGACACCAAACAAAATTGCTGATAAAAAGGGTAACAACCTTTTATATCTTAAAGTCCGTTACATAAAAAAAAACAAAATTGTTCTCAATTCCCCGACCCGCTCTGTGGACTATGGCACCAAGCTTCTATCACACAATAGGAAAATGTCGAATTACCTACTTTCTAGAATCATGTATGTATGTCGGAGTGTGGTTCAGTTCGACACTGGGGCTAATTTCTATCGATCATTCGCAGTTGATTCTTCTCTCCGACTTGAGTTGTATTTCTTCTTCTTCTTCTACTTGGGCTGGAAGTTCTTCTTGTCTGAGGGTTCTTTTCTCGCTGCCGTCCGGGGATGAACTTTAACTTCTCATCGACTTTCGGCTTGTCTGCAGCTCCAATTCTTCTCAGGCTTTCAGGCAATCTTCTTCTTCATCTACTTGGGCTGGAAGTTCTTCTTGTCTGAGGGTTCTTTTCTCGCTGCCGTCCGGGGATGAACTCTAACTGCAACTCCACTCCAACTCAACTTCAGCTCCAACTTCAGCTCCAACTCTTCTCAGGTTTTCAGGCAATCTTCTTCTTCATCTACTTGGGCTGGAAGTTCTTCTGTCTGAGGGTTCTTTTGCCCGCAAAGGGGGCGAGTGAATCGGGTCTTATGTCCGCGTTCAGGATCTTCCCCTGCCCGCGGTCCTGCTGCAACTCAGCCCAACTCCGGCTGCATCTCCAACTCAAACTGATTTCTGTCGACTGGGGTCCTGCTTATATTGACGCCGCAACAAACTGGGGTGGGTCTGTC